GTGTACAGACAACCCATGTCACCTAGTGTACAGACAACCCATGTCACATGGTCTACAGACAACCCATGTCACCTAGTGTACAGACAACCCATGTCACCTAGTGTACAGACAACCCATGTCACATGGTCTACAGACAACCCATGTCACCTGGTCTACAGACAACCCATGTCACCTAGTCTACAGACAACCCATGTCACATGGTCTACAGACAACCCATGTCACCTGGTCTACAGACAACCCATGTCGCATGGTCTACAGACAACCCATGTCGCATGGTCTACAGACAACCCATGTCACATGGTCTACAGACAACCCATGTCACATGGTCTACAGACAACCCATGTCACTTGGTCTACAGACAACCCATGTCACATGGTCTACAGACAACCCATGTCACATGGTCTACAGACAACCCGTGTCACATGGTCTCATTACAGACAACCCATGTCACATGGTCTACAGACAACCCATGTCACTTGGTCTACAGACAACCCATGTCACATGGTCTCATTACAGACAACCCATGTCACATGGTCTCATTACAGACAACCCATGTCACATGGTCTACAGACAACCCATGTCACATGGTCTACAGACAACCCATGTCACATGGTCTACAGACAACCCATGTCACATGGTCTCAATACAGACAACCCATGTCACATGGTCTCAATACAGACAACCCATGTCACATGGTCTACAGACAACCCATGTCACTTGGTCTACAGACAACCCATGTAAACAGACAACCCATGTCACCTAGTGTACAGACAACCCATGTCACATGGTCTCATTACAGACAACCCATGTCACATGGTCTCATTACAGACAACCCATGTCACATGGTCTCATTACAGACAACCCATGTCACATGGTCTCATTACAGACAACCCATGTCACATGGTCTACAGACAACCCCTGTCACATGGTCTACAGACAACCCATGTCACCTGGTCTACAGACAACCCATGTCACTTGGTCTACAGACAACCCATGTAAACAGACAACCCATGTCACATGGTCTACAGACAACCCATGTCACATGGTCTCATTACAGACAACCCATGTCACATGGTCTACAGACAACACATGTCACCTAGTGTACAGACAACCCATGTCACCTAGCGTACAGACAACCCATGTCGCATGGTCTACAGACAACACATGATACCTGGTCTACAGACAACCCATGTCACTTGGTCTACAGACAACCCATGTCACATGGTCTCATTACAGACAACCCATGTCACTTGGTCTACAGACAACCCATGTCACATGGTCTACAGACAACCCGTGTCACATGGTCTACAGACAACCCATGTCACATGGTCTACAGACAACCCATGTCACATGGTCTACTGACAACCCATGTCACCTGGTCTACTGACAACCCATGTCACATGGTCTACAGACAACCCATGTCACCTGGTCTACTGACAACCCATGTCACCTGGTCTACAGACAACCCATGTCATATGGTCTACAGGCAACCCATGTCACCTAGTGTACAGACAACCCATGTCACCTAGTGTACAGACAACCCATGTCACATGGTCTACAGACAACCCATGTCACATGGTCTACAGACAACCCATGTCACATGGTCTACTGACAACCCATGTCACCTGGTCTACAGACAACCCATGTCATATGGTCTACTGACAACCCATGTCACCTGGTCTACAGACAACCCATGTCATATGGTCTACTGACAACCCATGTCACCTGGTCTACAGACAACCCATGTCATATGGTCTACAGGCAACCCATGTCACCTAGTGTACAGACAACCCATGTCACCTAGTGTACAGACAACCCATGTCACATGGTCTACAGACAACCCATGTCACCTAGTGTACAGACAACCCATGTCACCTAGTGTACAGACAACCCATGTCACATGGTCTACAGACAACCCATGTCACCTGGTCTACAGACAACCCATGTCACATGGTCTACAGGCAACCCATGTCACTTGGTCTACAGACAACCCATGTCACCTGGTCTACAGACAACCCATGTCACATGGTCATCAGCCCTGTGTCAAGCACACACCAAATGTGGTCAAGTACACATCAGAGGTGGGTCAGGTACACAGTGGAGGTAGGTCAGGTACACAGTGGAGATGGGTCAGGTACACATCAGAGGTGGGTCAGGTACACATTTGAGGTGGGTCAGGTACACCGTGGAGGTGGGTCAGGTACACAGTGGAGGTGGGTCAGGTACACAGTGGAGGTGGGTCAGGTACACAGTGGAGGTGGGTCAGGTACACAGTGGAGGTGGGTCAGGTACACAGTGGAGGTGGGTCAGGTACACAGTGGAGGTGGGTCAGGTACACAGTGGAGGTGGGTCAGGTACACAGTGGAGGTGGGTCAGGTACACAGTGGAGGTGGGTCAGGTACACAGTGGAGGTGGGTCAGATACACATGAGGTGGGTCGGGTACACATCAGAGGTGGGTTAGGTACACAGTAGAGGTGGGTCAGGTACACAGTGGAGGTGGGTCAGGTACACAGTGGAGGTGGGTCAGGTACACAGTGGAGGTGGGTCAGGTACACAGTGGTGGTGGGTCAGGTACACAGTGGAGGTGGGTCAGGTACACAGTGGAGGTGGGTCAGATACACATGAGGTGGGTCGGGTACACATCAGAGGTGGGTTAGGTACACAGTAGAGGTGGGTCAGGTACACAGTGGAGGTGGGTCAGGTACACAGTGGAGGTGGGTCAGGTACACAGTGGAGGTGGGTCAGGTACACAGTGGAGGTGGGTCAGGTACACAGTGGAGGTGGGTCATGTACACAGTGGAGGTGGGTCAGGTACACAGTGGAGGTGGGTCAGGTACACAGTGGAGGTGGGTCAAGTACACAGTGCAGGTGGGTCAGGTACACAATGGAGGTGGGTCAGGTACACAGTGGAGGTGGGTCAGGTACACAGTGGAGGTGGGTCAGGTACACAGTGGAGGTGGGTCAGGTACACAGTGGAGGTGGGTCAAGTACACAGTGGAGGTGGGTCGGGTACACATCAGAGGTGGGTCAGGTACACAGTGGAGGTGGGTCAGGTACACAGTGGAGGTGGGTCAGGTACACATCAGAGGTGGGTCAGGTACACAGTGGAGGTGGGTCAGGTACACATCAGAGGTGGGTCAGGTACACAGTGGAGGTGGGTCAGGTACACAATGGAGGTGGGTCAGATACACATAAGAGGTATGTCAGGTACACAGTGGAGGTGGGTCAGGTACACAGTGGAGGTGGGTCAGGTACACAGTGGAGGTGGGTCAGGTACACAGTGGAGGTGGGTCAGGTACACAATGGAGGTGGGTCAGGTACACAGTGGAGGTGGGTCAGGTACACAGTGGAGGTGGGTCAGGTACACAGTGGTGGTGGGTCAGGTACACAGTGGAGGTGGGTCAGGTACACAGTGGAGGTGGGTCAGGTACACAGTGGAGGTGGGTCAGGTACACAGTGGAGGTGGGTCAGGTACACAATGGAGGTGGGTCAGATACACATAAGAGGTGGGTCAGGTAAACAGTGGAGGTGGGTCAGGTACACAGTGGAGGTGTGTCAGGTACACAGTGGAGGTGGGTCAGGTACACAGTGGAGGTGGGTCAGGTACACAATGGAGGTGGGTCAGATACACATAAGAGGTGGGTCAGGTAAACAGTGGAGGTGGGTCAGGTACACAGTGGAGGTGTGTCAGGTACACAGTGGAGGTGGGTCAGGTACACAGTGGAGGTGGGTCAGGTACACAGTGGAGGTGGGTCAGGTACACAGTGGAGGTGGGTCAGGTACACAGTGGAGGTGGGTCAGGTACACAGTGGAGGTGGGTCAGGTACACAGTGGAGGTGTGTCAGGTTTACAGTGGAGGTGGGTCAGGTACACATCAGAGGTGGGTCAGGTTCCATCTTATGCACTTTAGCTATCCAAATGTAATCTTTCTACTAATGTAAACTTTCTACTACCTCAATATCTACTCAACTTTAATCTCCTAATACACAATCTCAGCTCTACTGAGTTCTAACAACTAACTTGCCCCTACACGCTAGACTGAACAACTCTGCCATCTTTCCCGACTGCACTCTGACCAACGCCTATCGATTGGTCAGATGATCGTCACACGTGACCTATCAGTTCGTTCCGCTGCAATTCTATTGGTCCTGTTTGACCAAGGCCTAGTTGACCTACGCTGTGCTACCCTTCGCCTGTCTTTGACATGTTTTGGAATCTTGCCTAACTTCGCGTCATCACACTATAAATATTTCATAAAGTAAAATGTGTTAGGTATAATGAAAAATTATTTTGGGTAGGCTATTCAATATATATATATATATATATATATATATATATATATATATATATATATATATATATATATATATATATATATATATATATATATATATATATATATATATATATATATATTATTTATTTATTTATTTATTTATTTATTTATTTATTTATTTATTTATTTATATATATATATATATATATATATATATATATATATATATAAAATATTTTGATCCACACTTTCCTTTCTATTTTTATAAATAGTAGTAAATTATTACATTTACATTTTTCAAAAAAAATATTCTTTGTATTCTCTTTTTTTACTTTCTCGTATAGGCTACAGAGTATAGAGGAAGTATTGTAATCGTAAATAAGCGAGAATCGCACACGAATTTAGCTCAGAACTTCTGCCTACTTTTAGCAACAATGTTATTTTATTATGTTGCTTCCGTGTCATTGAGCATAATTTCTGTGAAATTAATAAAATAGCTTTGCTGACTTAATGTTTTTAACGATTTCCGACTTTACTTTAATGACCCAACTATTCATGCTAATTAATTTCTTAATTAGTCTTCCTAACATTTACCCTTTTAACGCTTGAAAATATCACAATCAAGAGCATGGCATAATTCTCCCATATAGATAAGTCTAAGATAAGGCGACGAACTGTCATAGCGCACTATTGAACGGAATCGCGCTTTTTGAAACACCATGGCACCCGAACTGTAAAAAAATGGCCGCTGCTCAGTTCGCTCCATGATTTAAATTGCTTTGAGGTAATAGAATTTGATAACACTATTTTAGAGTTCTTAAACCTAACCGTTAGAGTGATGCTAAAACGAGCCTCTTTTAACAATTACTTAAAAATTGTTTTTGATAAACAAAAAAAACATAATTTCATAATGCAAATCGAGATCTAGACTCTACATTAGAATCTAGATATCTAGATCTAGATTAGACTGTAGATTAGAATCTAGAGTCTAGATATCAAAATTAAGTAACTATTTTATATTGATTGGAAATATTTTTTCATACAGAATTTTTAAAAAACTAGTAAATGTCGATCTTCTACACAGTCAATGTGACTTGTAATCTAGAACGTTTTGAGGTCGTAACTATGAGAAGCCATCTAATGAAATCTGTGGCTGTCGTTTGCTTCTCTCTACTCATAGGTGAGTAGCACACAGTCCGCCACTCTGGGGACAGAGAAGGAGGGGGGGGGGGTCATGGAGGGAAGGTCAAGTGTCGACTTTGTGGACCTAGACAGGTTGGGGGGGGGGGGGCACAGGTTGAATTTATCCAACATTTATCTATAAATATAAAGACATGAATTTTTCAAACACCAGAGCTCATGTTTGTAACGATCAATTGTAAGTAAAAAAAATAAAGTACCTTTCCAGGCTTTGATGCGAATTTCTAAAACAAAAAAAGAACATAATTAGTTAGCCAACGTGGCTAAATTTTCCCTTAAGTCTCCATGGCGACCAACCACAGCCTGCACTAAAACTCGACAAAAATTGTTCCTAGTTTCCATTGAGACCAACCAACATACCACAACCTTAAGCCTACACTAAGATATTAATAAAATATTCCCTCGTTTCCATGGCGACCACCCAACATACGACGGCCCTTAAGTTTCCATGGCGACCAACCAACCACATCCCTCACTAAAATAGGACACAATTTAGGACACAATTTTCCCTCTCGTTTCCATGGCGACCAACCAACCAATCACAACATTTAAGTTTCCATGGCAACCAACCAGCATACCACAGCCCTCAAGTTGCCATAGCTATCAACCAACCAACCCCATGCCACAATTATACACGCCATGATTCCCCAGTGTCCACGGTGAGGGCAGTGACCACCCAACATACCACGCTAATACACGCCATGATTCCCCAGTGTCCACGGTGAGGGCAGTGACCACCCAACATACCACGCTAATACACGCCATGATTCCCCAGTGTCCACGGTGAGGGCAGTGACCACCCCCCAGCCCAGGACGACCCAGGCACCCAGCGTCGTACAGCCTCGGATCGTCAAGGAGCGGGAGAGCTTCGTGGTAAACTTCGAGCCAGAGAGCGAGGCGATCCTCTTCCCAAAGAACCACATCGTTATGCTGTACATTGCCAGGAAGGCGGCAGGCGACGCCCAGTACGTCCCCATGGCGTCACTCAGTCCCAATGGCATGGAGGAGCATCGCTTATTCCTGGTGAGATTTTCTTTCCTGGTGAGATTTTCTTTCCGAGTGAGATTTTCTTTCGTAGTGAGATTTTCTTTCCTGGTGAGATTTTCTTTCCTGGTGAGATTTTCTTTCCTGATGAGATTTTCTTTCCTGGTGAGATTTTCTTTCCTGGTGAGATTTTCTTTCCTGGTGAGATTTTCTTTCCCGGTGAGATTTTCTTTCCTGGTGAGATTTTCTTTCCTGGTGAGATTTTCTTTCCTGGTGAGATTTTTTCCTGGTAAGATTTTCTTTCCTGGTGAGATTTTCTGTCCTGGTAAGATTTTCTGTCGTGGTAAGATTTTCTTTTAGTGTGAGTTTTCCTAGTGCGATTTTCTTTCCTGGTGAGATTTCATTTTGACACCGTGAATCGGCCACTGCCATTTGACAGTCATCTGACACAGTCACCTGACACAGTCACCTGACACAGTCATTTGACAAGTGAACTCTCTTGTGACAACGCTACTTCAGCTAGAAATATCTAGAATCTTGCGCCAGTATCGTCTATCCTTATCATCCGCTAACTGACAAGTTTTAGTGTGAGAATGACATTGTCAGACATTTGGCATATATTTTGACATTGTCATTCTTCTAAACTTTATTTTATCGGCATTTTTTTAAAAATAAACTTCTTGTTTGATATATTAAGACATGTTTGTCTTTCTGAATAGTTTGAAAAAAATGGATTATAAAAACCGTTTTAATGAAGTAAATTGTGTACATGAAATAGTAACGTCATTGGCCGAATGATTGAATCGCTTCTTTTCATTACTGCTGAACATTTTGTCCAACTCAGTTTGTAATTATTATTTCCTTTCTCTTTTCAATAGCTGATTAATCTTAGTTCGTCGTCGCTGTTTATTTTTCTAGCCGCTGTTTAAACTATGCACATTGCTGTTTTAATTCTGCCGTCCTTGTTTTAATTCTGCTCCAGAGGCGTAGCGACCCTTCCCGGCGCCCGGGGACAAACTTTCAATTTAACGCCCCCATCGGGAGCAAATTTTCAATTTGCCCCTCCCCCCCTAAAACTTTCGATTTGCACCCCCCCCCCTCAAACTTTCGATTAGCAAAACCCCCCCTCCCTCAAACTGCAAAAATACAGCTAAAATGACATTTTAATTTGTTTTTACAACCCATTTTGGCGCCCCCTAAGGTCGGCGCCCGGGGACATATGTCCCCCCCTGCCCCTCCCCCATCGCTACGCCTCTGTTCTGCTCGTCCGCGTTTTAATTCTGTCCGTCGCTATTTAAATTGTGCCCATTGCTGTTTTAATTCTGCTCGACCTTATTTTAATTATGCCCGTCATTGTTTAAATTCTGCCCGTCGCTATTTAAATTGTGCCCATTGCTGTTTTCTGCTGCCCATCGATGTTTTTATTCAGCCCTTCTTGTTTTCGTTCATCCCAACAGTTTTCTGCCTGTTGCTCTTTTTATTCAGCCCGTGGCAGTTTCAGCTATTTTCCCTGTTTTAAAATTAAAATGTACTTGTTGTTTCTATCTCTGCTTGATGTCTGTCTATCGCGTCTAAAATTCTGCAAAATTATTTCAACCTCTCGAATATTTTATAGCTCTCGAAAAACGTGTTTTCTGTTGTTCAGCATACCCAGACCTCGTCTGAGTGGGCGATGCTGCCCACCTTCTACGATCGGATGGTGCTTCGCCTCGCAAAAAGACATGCCGAGGTCAAGGACTCTGGAGACTACACGTGCCACGTCATCTTCAACAAGGACGGCAAGATGCACAAGCAGGTCCAAGACAGCTGGCTCCGTGTCTTAGGTCAGCTCTCACACTTTTCCACATCCACATTCTCACAATGTCCATAATCCATATCCACATTCTCACAATGTCCATAATCCATATCCACATTCTCACAATGTCCATAATCCATATCCACATTCTCACAATGTCCATCATCCATATCCACATTCTCACAATGTCCATAATCCATATCCACATTTTCACAATGTCCATAATCCATATCCACATTCTCACAATGTCCATAATCCATATCCACATTCTCACAATGTCCATAAGTTCTAGAACTTTGTGAAACTTGTTGGTTCTAGAACTTTGTGAAACTTGTTGGTTCTAGATCTAGAGCTTTTTGAAACTTGTTGGTTCTAGAACTTGGTCTGTGAAACTTGTTGGTTCTAGAACTTTTTGGAACTTGTTGGTTCTAGAACTTGGTCTGTGAAACTTGTTGGTTCTAGAACTTTGTGAAACTTGTTGGTTCTAGAACTTTTTGAAACTTGTTGGTTCTAGAACTTGGTCTGTGAAACTTGTTGGTTCTAGAACTTGGTCTGTGAGACTTGTTGGTTCTAGAACTTGGTTTGTGAAACTTGTAGGTTCTAGAACTTGGTTTGTGAAACTTGTTGGTTCTAGAACTTGGTCTGTGAGACTTGTTGGTTCTAGAACTTTGGTCTGTGAAACTTGTTGGTTCTAGAACTTGGTCTGTGAAACTTGTTGGTTCTAGAACTTGGTCTGTGAAACTTGTTTGTTTGTTTGTTTGTTTGTTTGTTTGTTTGTTTGTTTGTTTGTTTGTTTGTTTGTTTGTTTGTTTGTTTGTTTGTTTGTTTGTTTGAACCTTTGGAATTATTGGCTTGTAGGAATGATGGGATTAGATGTAGGGGAGACAACTAGTGCCAAGTTTGCTGAGGCCATCAACAGTGCCCAGACCATTGTATGGAACGGTCCGCCAGGAGTCTTTGAGTGGGACAAGTTTGCTCATAGGACAGAAGCCGTGATGGCCGCTGTCACTAAGGTGAGATTGTGTCAGTGGTCATTTACATTGACCATTGTCGTGCCAGTGGTCATGTCATTGACCTTTGTCGTGTCAGTGGTCATGTCATTGACTATCGTAACGTTAGTGATTGTCTCCCATCAATGTTTCTCTACTCCCGGACTTTTACAAACTAAAAAAAAATCCTTTTTGTTAATGTGTTCCTTGGTCAGGCAACAAGAAAGGATGCAGTGACTATCATAGGAGGAGGTGACACTGCCACATGTGCCAAGAAGTTCAAGGCCGAGGACAAGTTGACGCATGTCAGTACAAAGGGCGGAGCCAGTCTGGAGCTGCTGGAGGGCAAGCTACTGCCTGGCATAGAGTCCCTGTCAATCAATCCAAAACTTAAGGTGTGTGGGTCAAAGGTCACACTGTCTTTAGTCAATCAACCCAAAACTTAAAGTGTGTGGGTCATAGGTCACACTGTCTTTTGTCAATCAACCCAAAACTTAAGGTGTGTGGGTCATAGGTCACACTGTCTTTAGCTTTAGCAAAACTTATGGTGTGTGGGTCGTGGGTCACATTGTCTTTAGTCAATCTACCCAAAACTTAAGGTGCGTGGGTCATAGATCACATTGTCTTTAGTCAATCTACCCAAAACTTAAGGTGCGTGGGTCATAGATCACATTGTCTTTAGTCAATCTACCCAAAAACTTAAGGTGCGTGGGTCATAGATCACATTGTCTTTAGTCAATCTACCCAAAACTTAAGGTGTGTGGGTCATAGGTCACACTGTCTTTAGTCAATCTACCCAAAACTTAAGGTGTGTGGGTCATAGGTCACACTGTCTTTAGTCAATCTACCCAAAACTTAAGGTGTGTGGGTCATAGGTCACACTGTCTTTAGTCAATCCACCCAAAACTTAAGGTGCGTGGGTCATAGATCACATTGTCTTTAGTCAATCTACCCAAAACTTAAGGTGTGTGGGTCATAGGTCACACTGTCTTTAGTCAATCTACCCAAAACTTAAGGTGTGTGGGTCATAGGTCACACTGTCTTTAGTCAATCTACCCAAAACTTAAGGTGTGTGGGTCATAGGTCACACTGTCTTTAGTCAATCTACCCAAAACTTAAGGTGCGTGGGTCATAGGTCGCACTGTCTTTAGCTTTAGTGTACACATTGCATGATAGGCTACAACTAGATAGTAGACGGTACAATGGACTTGTCTCATATGAATGTTTTCGTTTGGTGTGGTACAACCTCACTGACATAATCACTGGCTGACTTGGGCAAGCATTGGGAAATACTGCTATATTGATCACATCTGTCATAATTCTAACTTTTTAATTGCGTCCCAACACCACGCCTCACTAAACTTCAATTAACTGTTTAATGACACGATAACAAACTTTAAATGTTAACCCTTTCATGCTAGGATATCAAATTGCCGGTGTTTTATGTGTAGGTAGACCTCGAAAGATAAACTAGTGCCCCATAGATAGCCACATGACTGTGTTTTATGTGAAGGTAGACATTGAAAGATGAACTAGTGCCCCATAGATAGCCACATGACTGTGTTTTATGTGTAGGTAGACCTTGAAAGATGAACTAGTTCCCCAAAGATAGTCACATGACTATGTTTTATGTGTAGGGACACCTCGAAAGATGAACTAGTGCCCCATAGATAGCCACATGACTGTGTTTTATGTGTAGGGACACCTCGAAAGATGAACTAGTGCTCGATAGATAGCCACATCTAACTGACTGTGTTTTATGTGTAGGTAGACATTGAAAGATGAACTAGTGCCCTATAGATAGCCACATCTAACTAACTGTGTTTTATGTGTAGGTAGACATTGAAAGATGAACTAGTGCCCCATAGATAGCCACATGACTGTGTTTTATGTGTAGGGACACCTCGAAAGATGAACTAGTGCCCCATAGATAGCCACATGACTGTGTTTTATGTGTAGGGACACCTCGAAAGATGAACTAGTGCCCCATAGATAGCCACATGACTGTGTTTTATGTGTAGGGACACCTCGAAAGATGAACTAGTGCTCCATAGATAGCCACATGACTGTGTTTTATGTGTAGGTAGACCTCTAAAGATGAACTAGTGCCCCATAGATAGCCACATGACTGTGTTTTATGTGTAGGTAGACCTTGAAAGATGAACTAGTGCCCCATAGATAGCCACATGACTGTGTTTTATGTGTAGGGACACCTCGAAAGATGAACTAGTGCCCCATAGATAGCCACATGACTGTGTTTTATGTGTAGGGACACCTCGAAAGATGAACTAGTGCTCCATAGATAGCCACATGACTGTGTTTTATGTGTAGGTAGACCTTGAAAGATGAACTAGTGCCCCATAGATAGCCACATGACTGTGTTTTATGTGTAGGGACACCTCGAAAGATGAACTAGTGTCCCATAGATAGCCACATGACTGTGTTTTATGTGTAGGGACACCTCGAAAGATGAACTAGTGCTCCATAGATAGCCACATGACTGTGTTTTATGTGTAGGTAGACCTTGAAAGATGAACTAGTGCCCCATAGATAGCCACATGACTGTGTTTTATGTGTAGGGACACCTCGAAAGATGAACTAGTGCCCCATAGATAGCCACATGACTGTGTTTTATGTGTAGGGACACCTCGAAAGATGAACTAGTGCTCCATAGATAGCCACATGACTGTGTTTTATGTGTAGGTAGACCTTGAAAGATGAACTAGTGCCCCATAGATAGCCACATGACTGTGTTTTATGTGTAGGGACACCTCGAAAGATGAACTAGTGCCCCATAGATAGCCACATGACTGTGTTTTATGTGTAGGGACACCTCGAAAGATGAACTAGTGCCCCATAGATAGCCACATGACTGTGTTTTATGTGTAGGGACACCTCGAAAGATGAACTAGTGCCCCATAGATAGCCAAATGACTGTGTTTTATGTGTAGGGACACCTCGAAAGATGAACTAGTGCTCCATAGATAGCCACATGACTGTGTTTTATGTGTAGGTACACCTCGGAAGGCTCACGATTGACCAGTGTTCTCTGAACGACAAGCGCGTGCTACTCCGTGATGACCTGAACGTGCCGCTCAAAAAGGGCGTGGTCGCAGACAACAGCAAGCTACAGGCAGCCGTCCCCACGATCAGGCTCGCGCTGGAGAAGGGATCCAGATCAGTTGTGGTCATGAGGCCCGTGGCTGAGGAGCTGGAGGCCCTGCTGGGGGTGACCGTCACCTTCCTCCCCGACTGTGTGAGGCCGGATGTCGAGGCCGCCTGCGAGGTTCCCTGGCCCGGGTCTATAATGGGGAAAAATCTACGCTTCCACCCAGAGGAGGTGGGCAAAGGGAAATCCCCTGGGGGTGAGGACTTCACGCCAACCCAAAGGAGTGGTCGAGAGTTCAGGTGAGAAAATGACGTCACGAGGTTACAAACTGTCCAAGAGGCTAACAATAAATTATGTTAAAAAAGTTTAACTTTATTTTATATTGAATGCTGAGCTAAAAATTACATTGATGAATACAGGGGCGTAGCGAGGGGGGGGGGGGCGGACCGCACCGGGTGACACCATTTAGGGGGGTGACACCAAAGCAAAAAATAGCAAAATATATAGAGAGGGGGGTGCAAATCGAAAGTTTGAGGGAGGGGGTGCAAATCGAAAATTTGAAAGTTTGTCCCCGGGAAGGGTCGCTACGCCTCTGGGGGGGGTGACACCATTAAGTGCCGCATCGGGTGACACCCGACCTCGCTTCGCCACTGGATGAATATAATTTATGACAATGTTCATGTATAATGTAGGATTGATAATAAAACGGTCTGAAATACACAGATTAAATTTAGTCAGCGGGTTGCTCATGGGGCGGGAGCTGCAACCCCTGAAGCAGTCTCTGTACCAGCCAACCCGACCCCTGCTGGCTATTGTGGGCGGGGCGGGCACGGCCAACAAGATGCCTCTGATCGAGAACCTTCTGGAGAAAGTTGATGAGCTAATTATCACCGGAAGTACGTGGTGGTAACATAGCTAATTAATAAACATTTTTTTTAATGACGTTGTAAAGTTAAGAAATTATTAGATTCACAGTAAGGGATTTCAAACCCCGACTACTTTATTTATGTCATATTAAATTATTCCTTCAATTTGTTCAAGTATTTTGTATTAAATAAAAGAAAAACTTCAATAGCTATTCTTGAAAAATTACGTGAAATTAAATGTACCATGGTTTTTGAAATGTTGTATACCTGTGTACAGATATCGCCTTGACCTTCTTGAAGGATCTGTTCGGCATGGACATTGGCCTGTCCCCCTACGACCCAGAGGCCGCTAAAACTGTTAATGACGTCATTGAACAATCTAAAGAGAGTAACGTCAAGCTCCACCCACCGGTTGATTTTGTCATAGCTGACCCAATGTCAGCTGAGGCCAACACTAAAACAACAAACGTCCCCAACGGCATTCCTGGCGGTTAGTTTTTCCAACATACTTGAACCCTACTGACAGAATCAAACGAGATCAGAGCTTCTTCCAGGCATCTTTTCTAGGGGGGGGGGCGGATCCCGCGAAGAAAGTCTACAGCCCCCCCCCCAAACAAAATGAAATTTATATAGAAAATATAAACCCCGAAAAAAAGTCTAACCCCCCCCCCCCCTCCCCCCGAAAATTTCAAGTGCCCCCCCCCCCCCCGGAGAAAAAAGTCTGGATGAAACACTGGAAGAAGCTCGTAATACTGAATACCCAACACAAGTCTTCATTGGACTACACTTAGCTTACATAATCATGTCATTAAAATCATTACTATTATGATGAACTTTTTATTGATTGTTGCTTACAAATAATTGTTAACCGTATTGTGTTGCAGTATGGCTGTACGGAGTCTTTCTGATCATCTTCCGTAAAAAGAAAGCCATACAGGTGTGTGGAAAGTCTGACACATGTGTGTCTTCGAAGATGGCTGGATGTTTGGATGTGTGTCTTCGTAGATGGCTGGATGTTTGGATGTCTTCTTTGATGGCAGAGGCGTAGCGACCCTTCCCGGCGCCCGGGGACAAACTTTCAATTTTCAACCCCCCCCCCCCCCTCGAACTTTTCATTTGCACCCCCCCTTCCTCGCTAAGCCTCTGTTTGATGGCTGGATATTTTGGATGAGTTTTTTGATCGATCGATGTGTGGTTGACGAAATTAATGGACAGTTTGTTAATGGATTAGGTGAGTGAGTGAAAGGGCGGGAGGCTGGCTGGTGACTAATGTTTAACATTTTCATCACAGATGCTCGTTATGCTGCACGGTATCACTTCAAAATCAGCGGCTCAAAATATATCTGAGAACAATCCATGCGAGACCACAATGGGCACGTTATCTGATGTTTACAAACAAATTTTACGAGTGCAAGAAAAAATTTTTCAAGAATTAAGAAATGAAAAACAACAAGCAGTTGCAAAATGCGAGGCTGAGGTAAAAGAGCTCCGAAATGACTTAAGTATGGCCCGGAGAGAAAACAGCCTAGAAGACACAATCAAGATTAGTTATGCAACACTACATAATTGCATTTGCGCAATAGTGATTTTCGTAGTGTTGAGTAAGTTTATTTTAAAATTGAAACTTTTTTTTAAAAACTAAACTTTTTTTTAAAAAAAAAACGAACTGAAGTAGAGCTCACCTGTATTTATGACCTCAGCATATGAAGAGATGGGAGTCCTCTTTACCCCTCGTGATTAACTGGGCAGATGAAGTAGAGTTCATATGTATCTTGACCACGGCATATGAAGGGCCGTTGTTATCAGCAATTAGCTCAGCCGCTTTAACTTTCCTTAACGTGAATTAATACTCTCCCTAGCCCGAGTTAAATATCTATTATAACTGGGTAGACTCGTGGACGTTCTACTGACTTGAGCCCGGATTTGAACTCGAGACTTGCTACCGTTATGTTAAGCCGTCACTCAAAAATGAGAGAAAGTAAGAGAAAGAGAGAGAGAAAGAGACAGAGAGAGAAAGAGACAGAGAGAGAGAGAGAGAGAGAGAAAAGGGGGAGAGAGAAGTTCGCTCAAGATTTTTATATAAAAAGATAATTTTTTGTCAAACTTTTTGTTTTACAGCCACTGGTCTTCTAATATATCTGGGAGGTAGAGCTGCTGTGGCTGAGATGGGGATTGGCTACTTGAAGACCAGGAACAATGTATTACAACGCGAAAACGAGTATTTCAGAACAGAGTTTCTTCGCCCTCCAGAAAATTTCAAGTGCCCCCCTGGAGAAAAAGGTCTGGAAGAAACACTGTTTCAGAAATCTTCTCAACTTACCACAAACTGGTATTAATTAACTATCAAATCACATAAACATTTGAGTACATTTCATGTAATAAAAAGGCTGGTGAAGAAAAACTAATTTGATTTACTGGACAATTTATTTAAAATAAAGTAAAAAATCTTGAATTCAGTTTACATTTTCTCAGACATTGAGGCTTGTTTTTATTAAAACCACTTCAAACATCAGACACATTGTTAGGTAGATTGTAGAGTAAATGAACTCGTAATGCCAGTGACAGTATTGAACATGATTACCACTGCCTTGTAATTTGTTGCCAATACTAAATAAAAATATTCTCCCTGATTTAAATTTGTTTTTGAGTAAAGTATTTACCACTTTTTAAAATTTATTGGTGTCTTTGTTTAACAAAGTAATGAAGGTCGTAAAAGATAAAACAATTAGTTTGACATTATCAGTCCCTTTTTTTCTTTCGTACCCAAGACAAACGGGGAAGATGAAGTAGAGTTCATCTGTTTCACTTACGTCGGGATACTGTTGTCATCACTATGCTCAGCGACATTCAACTCTAAATAAGAAAAGGTTTTATTAGTTTGTTCTTCTACTTGAAAAATATGGATAGTTATCATTAGCCTATGAATTTGTTTACTTTTATTTGATGTCACTAATTGCCAGTTCCATTAATGATTGATTAATGTTAAATAGTCTTTTCAGAACACATCGACAATTATTTCTAGAGGGTGGGGGTGACACCATGAGTTAAACTTTGCCCCCGATATTTGTTTTCTCCTGCTGTTTATGGGGCCGATTAAATGTTTAACAACCTTCAATATGGTACGGTAGCATTAGAAAAAGTTATTTTGGATAGCGTCAGAGGCGTATCTATGGGGGGCAGGGGGGTACATATGTCCACGGGCGCCGACCTAAGGGGGCGCCAAAATGGGTTGTAAAAACAAATTAAAATGTCTTTTAAGCTGCATTTTTGCATAATAAATAGTTTGAGGGGGTGGGGGTTGTAAATCCAAAGTTTGAGGGGGGGGAGGTGCAAATTGAAAATTTGCTCCCGAGGGGAGCGCCAAATTGAAAGTTTGTCCCCGGGCGCCGGGAAGGGTCGCTACGCCTCTGGATAGCGTTTCCTACATTACAGACAACTAATGTGTCTAGATTTTAATGCATAGTAAATGTTAATTAATTATTTTAAAATCCTATTTACAGTTAGTCCTAAGTTTTAGTTGAACCATACGAGCATTAACAAAGTTAGCATTTGTCATATTCTTGGTTTCGTTCCCTGTCGCAAAAATGTCACAATTTTTAATTGAAATCTTAAACGCTTTAAAATATTAAAGCATTTTTAATTAGCTAACAAGTTGATTATTAATGACATTGCTTTAATGTAAACGGCATGATGTAATTTAAATTTATTTACAGATTATAATAGAGGTTACATGTAGTAGGCATATAGTAAGACAAGCAAAAAAACTATTTCAAAATCGTATTCAGTTTAATGACATAGCAAGCATTATAATAAAATATTATATTTGACATATTTTTAATAAATATTCAGAAAATCATTAGGCTATAAAATAACCCACTGCAAAGCTATGTGTTTACATCTTTGAGCAGACGTGTTGTTGCTGCTAGCCATCATCAGGCAGCTGATCCTAACATAACGACACCACATGTTTGAGAGCCCTAAATAGCTCGCACATAAAGCTACCCATATAGTCTTATAGACGTTATAGTGTTTCTTACAACATAAGGAACTATATTTTACACACACACATGATTAGGCTATGACTTTTAATAATCAATTGAAATGATTTACAATTTTAAAAGTAACGCTGGAACATACGTTGGAGAGGGGAGAGGGGCTCTTGAGACTAACGGTAGTGAGGGGCACTGAAAAATGAAAGATAAAGGGGTTAGGACCAACAATGGTAAAAGTATTTACTGTGTATATTTTGTCTTCCACAAGGACGACAGTAGACGTGCTCCGGGAGGTTTGAAATGTTATGTATACATATAACTAACCATTCACCAAGTTATGGTTTGTTTTTTCACTGACGATGGCGTTGTTACTGTAGCGTGTTTAAAATGTCATGTCTACATAATATAACTAACAATTCACCATGGTATGATGTGTGTTTATGTAAACTGACTATGGTGATGTTACGTGATGTAGCGTGTTTAAAATATAATGTCTACATTCACCAAGTTATGTTTTGTGTTTCTACAAACTGACAATGGCGATGTTGCTTTAGCATGTTTAAAATATAATGTCTACATTCACCAAGTTATGATGTGTGTTTCTACAAACTGACAAGGGTGATGTTGCTGTAGCATGTTTAAAATATAATGTCTACATTCACCAAGTTATGATGTGTGTTTCTACAAACTGACAAGGGTGATGTTGCTGTAGCATGTTTAAAATATAATGTCTACATTCACCAAGTTATGATGTGTGTTTCTACAAACTGACAAGGGTGATGTTGCTGTAGCATGTTTAAAATATAATGTCTACATTCACCAAGTTATGATGTGTGTTTCTACAAACTGACAAGGGTGATGTTGCTGTAGCATGTTTAAAATATAATGTCTACATTCACCAAGTTATGATGTGTATTAGTTGCTGTATGACCTTAGGTTGGCGTCTTTCACCAAGTTATGATATGTGTTTCTACAAACTGACGATGGTAATGTTGCTGTAGGGCGTGAGGTTGGCGTCTTCTACTGGTGAGAACAACTTAAAGTAAAGATCCTCATCAGTACACATGTCCACCACCACACAAGCTGTAGCTCTAGTGTAGCCGATGTTTATCCCAATGCGTGACCGACACTGTTTCGCAACAAACACATCCATCCTAATCGGTTTATTTTCGCTTTCATGTAGATCCACACAGACCAGGTATAGCCCATCATGTGGTGATACAAATTTGCCTGTTGTTTGATCAAAGTTTCGACCGTTGGATTCCCTTACGTAACGGAATGTGGAACAGATGGATCCGTCATTGAATGGCGTCGTGACGTCAAGTTCCATGTAACAGACGTACCTCCTGTGTAGACAAGTCTCTGTTCAGTAGAGAGTATCTTATTAGTTTAATTAAAATTTGTAATTAATAATTGAATTAAATACTTGATACTACCGTATAACGATTTAATACAAGTCAATGTACATATATATATATATATATATATATATATATATATATATATATATATATATATATATATATATATATATATATATATATATATATATATATATATATATATATATATATATATATATATATATATATATATATATATATATATATATATATATATATATATATATATATATATATATATATATATATATATATATATATATATATATATATACATGACGGCGTGGTTGAATGGTATAGCATACGACAGCTAACCCATAAGTCGTGAGTTCGGACCCGTGGTAAAGTTTGTATATATCACGATCACAATGATACGTAACGTTTACCAAGGTACGTCATGCTTAAACGGTACCTTTAATGTAATTAATATAAACACGATTCATTTTTCTTTGTTCAAGTTACGTCGATTATTTTAGTTGAGACAACCCACATTTTTAGTGCTCCTAGATTTTCAAATCCTGCACTGGGCGTGTACTTGACCCTCGGCTTCACGAGTTCAGATGATGTGACGTCACTTATAACATCAGATCTTAGCTGCAACCACCTATCATGCCATCAGCCCCCCCCCTCCCCCCACATAATTTTCCTAATTGGTATGGTAGAACAGCATGTACAGAACCACCACCACCCCACACACACCTCCACCACCACCGCCCTTTCACCATAATTTACCCAAGTGGTATGGTTAAAACAGCTAGTACAACACTATCCCCCCCCCCCCCCCCCACATCACCACCAGATATTTGGATGGTTTATTCTAATGTTAAATTGTAATAGTTTAAGCAACCTTGATTTGAAAACAGTCCGTCAGTGAAAACTTAAATAAAACATAGAATAGTCTACCTACTTCGTATCTTTTAAGGAGTATAAATAAAAACTTACCCATTGTATTCACCTTATTCGACAATTTCCAAACGACGTTATCTATAGTTTCAAACTAAAATAAATAAAATAAAATAATAATTAATGTATAGAAACACTAAATGCGGATAATAGCAATGATCTACATGTCAACATCAAATGTCAACCTGGTTAAATTCTCTTTCAAATAATATAGAGTGGACTAATCCCTTTGTATTTGTTTATGTAGAAAGACAACTTTGTTTCACTTGAACAAAATATAAAACGTTTTGTTTTTATTATTATCTCCCCTAATATTTCTATCTGAAATGGGGATTACATGTTTTTACCGAGCATTATAGTTTTATATATAGCTTTGTAACCTATAAAATGTTTTAGCTAAAATTATTGTAAAATGATTAATGTTGCGTAACTCTTGATCTTTTTAGAATAAATGGATTAATTTTGTATACCCCCTTATCTGATTGAATAAATGGATTAATTTTGTATACACTTGATTTTTATATTAAATGGATGAATGTTGTGTACCTGTTGTTTCTACTTTGTCTTCCTCTTTTAGACTGGTGTCACAATAGGTATTTTAATAAATGTTTTAGCATTATGCAAAGACGTGCTTTAATAGACTGGAAATCAATAGTTGCAACAAGAAAATATAACTTATCAATTACCTTTAAAAATAAATCTTCAATTTTTTTACTTGTAATGGACGTATTTTTCTTAGCCTCCTCGTGTAAATTAGAGATCCAATCATAATGATTTTTTATTTCTTGCTTTAAGCTGCTAGTTTTATCGCTGTGAACTTGCATCTCTTTACTGATACTGTGGCAGATGATTTCAATTTCTTCAATATCTAGACACAGTTCATCTAATGGCTTGTTTGAATTACTTTCTTTCAAACTTTCAATTTGTGTGTTCAGCTCATCTGCATTGTTATCTTGTTCTTTAACAAAGTTGTCTCTCCATTGTTTTAGTTCCTGTAAGCTATCTTCAGTCTTTTGTTTTGTGCTTTCTAGGGCCATCTCCAAACGTTTCAATCTAGTTTCTACATAGAATACAAACATAATGTTGAAAACGAATTTTTTAAAAAAAACTATTCGGCTCATAATATCATTGTAACTTTTAAACTATTAGATTTATTTATATTTGAATAAAATTTTTTTTTAAAAAGCTATAAATTAGTAAAGCAAGATAGTTATATTTTATGTAAGGACAATTTTTGCGTTTTACTTATATTTCAGTGTTATTTATATTATCTGTTTTAAAATCATTTCACACCTGTGGAGATATCCGTAGAACCATGTAGGCCTACACCTGACGGTGGTTTTTCCACTGATGTTGTTGAATGATTATCTGGGTACAAGGTCAAGGTTGACTGGTCTATAATTAGAACATGCTATTACAACTAATTTAAAATCTTATTTAATAATAGCTACAATCACATTGTTTTTTCTCAAATTAATACCAAAAATTGTTAACTTTAATATTTAAAATTTAGGCTTGTATATTATAATATATTAACATTGCAATAGGTTGTTCAATAGTTTATAAAATAAATGTGTAGCCCAAATGTTTTCTACGTGATATTTTTAATACATTACATACATATTAAAATTTTAAACATTAATTTTTCTAGTTTTCAACCTTCTTTTATCGATAGCGCTCTATATAATCCAAAAAAATTGTTTTCAAATTACCATAAGTGATCTCCAAATGCTCTAAAAGGAGAGTATTCGCCGCAGTTACCATAGCAACCACATCTTTAAATGTCATATCAGTTTCAGAGGTTGCATCCATCCATTGCATTGTTTTGGTTTCAACCTGTAGTGTTTGTAGTTTTAAAATAAACATTAGTTACTTACATTTCTTATTAATCTGTAGTGTTTGTGGCTTTAAAATATACATTAGTTACTTACATTTTATTTTAACATGAATTGTTAGTGGTTTATAGATATACATTAGTAACTGAAATTTCTATTTAACCTGTAGTGTTAGTGGTTTCAAAATATACATCAGCAAAAATCCATTACCTACATACCGTTACAAATGTAGCGTCAAGGGAAACAACTAGCCCTGTTTATGTTCTACCACTAACGAGCTAAATATGACGTATTGTATGTGTGGCTAGATCAGTTTGGTAATGTTTACGGTACAAAAATATGGCGAGGTGCTTAGTCTTTACAGAAACGTCTAGAAAACTTTTAAAAACGTTCCAAAAATTAATCGTACCTGTTGGACAAATTCAGTAATACTATTCCGTAGCTGAGAATGTATGTTCTCTAACTGTTCCAACAATGTCTTTAAATGGCTGTTTCTCTGATTGCTCTTAGACATCTGGAAGAATTTTCTCAGACTTAAAGGACTTGATGATACAAATTGATGACACATTATAGATATCACACAAGCAATACAATGGTTTACAACTTAAAATATAATAGTATTTTATGTCTATATATTCAGCCAGAATAGATCATTACTTTCTTATTTATCTTCTGAATATAAGTTTAACACTGTATTTTATAGTTTACTACTAATAAGATACAGCTTAATGTTTTCATACTTTTTTTTTACAAAGAAGGACGGCGTAATTAATGATATAGATTCTAGATCACCAACAATGATTTTCTAGAAATCAGTTTACTCACTCTAGTCTGAGATATGCCCTTGAGTTAACTCAGCTATAAATTGTTCCTTACTCGAGCAAAGCAATCAGGACGAGTAGTACGTGTATGAAATAACACCCTTTAATTCTACCCCAGATTTAGAGATTAATACAGCACCTACTCTAATCACCAAAATTTTCTACAAGCTCCAATTATAATTTTTTAAAAATTTTCTTAGACTACTTCTCTTTTAAGCCTATTTATACATTTTTTAAATTTGTGAATTGCTGAAAAGCGGAAGAAAAACAAACACTTTCGCCGTCTCGATGGGACGAGGCAATTTTTAGACAGTTGTGTTACTCATAAAGGGGCTACCCCAAATTGCTTTAAAAAAAACTATTTCATCACTGTTCGATTACACATCTGTAAAGACGGATGTTATGACCGTATATTTTGTTCCTACAACATCCCGTATTAAAGACGGGTGTTATGGCCGTCTATTTTGTTTCAACATCATCCCGTATTAAAGACGGCTGTTATGGCCGTCTATTTTGTTCCTACATCATCACGTATTAGGATGGGTGTTATGGTATTAGAAAGGAAATCCACTTGTCAAAAACAAGAATCAATATTTAACCATTGTCTTTATTTACCCCTGAAACCTTGCAGATACATATGTTCAACCATCTATGACATTGGCTTTAACCTTGTCCATGTCGTGACGCATGTTTATTATTTTAATATTTTGGTAGACCATTGGGAAATCCTGTAAATCTACATGCTATTTTAAATATAAAAAGAAGTTAAAGAAGTTACAGTTTACAGGTTTTTTCCTAGGGGTAAAAAATCCCTAAATTAACAAACAATGTTTGGAAAACATCTTTTTGTGCCAAATTTAACAGAAATGACGTAGTGTAACAAGTGGATAGACAGCTATTTATGATGACTAATTCAAATATCGCTGCTCTTCATTTAATTGTGTTTACGTCGGTGAAATATTTTAGAAGATTTTTAAGTAACAGGGTAATTAGAAATCCGCTTTCATGTTTTCGAAATAATTTAATTGACTTCATCCTATCAAAATTACAAAAGTCAAGTAAGTTTTAGTTCAACTTGACTCATGTAAAACACTTGCCAATAGAACGTCCTTGTTTTTCACATTCATTCAGGCTGTACTGATAGTTTTGTTTTTAACGTTAATGGTTTCCAAACAATTCTCTTGGTTTCTGACTTTTGAACCAATTGAACTTCGAATATCTGTTTGAAAAACGATTAAATAACAATATTGAATTTACAATGTAAATGAGATTCTCAAAAAAAAAGGAATTAAACAATAATTTCACGCTAGATAATGTAAATTATATGAAATCGTAATACAATAAATGAGAGAGCATGACTTAACAAGGTCTCCTATTTAAAGAAATGTTTACGTGACAACTCTTCAAAAACCTAACAAACTACAGTAATATACAAAGAACAAGAAAATAATTAGCAAACATATGATATAACAAACAAGGATTTTAAGTTCAATTTGTAAATTTAAAATGACCATATTTTTAAATAGCCAGCCTAGCCTAGCCTAGCCTAGCCTAGCCTAGCCTAGCCTAGCCTAGCCTAAACCCTAGCCTAGCCTAGCCTAGCCTAGCCTAGCCTAGCCTAGCCTAGCTTAGCCTAGCTTAGCTTAGCTTAGCTTAGCTTAGCTTAGCTTAGCTTAGCTTAGCTTAGCTTAGCTTAGCTTAGCTTAGCCTAGCTTAGCCTAGCCTAGCCTAGCCTAGCCTTGCGTAGTCGAGTAGTTGAAATGGGCGAAATTAAGCAGGTGATGAGTGTATATTTCACAAGAGTTAAATAATCGTGAAGTTGTTGGCATTGAATTGATTGTGTAGGGTGGATGATGATGTTTTGAGTAGTTAAGTTTCAGAGATTTCAAGTAGTCGAATTGATTTCATGGTATTGTGACGAAACCTCTCATCTAAGGTTTCTCCTAGGTGGATGACGTCAAGCTGAAAAAAAAAGAAAATTAGCCAGCAAATACAAGTACTCGGTGGCTCATCACATGTACCTTGTGAACAATTTCACGTGTTTTATAATATAGGAAACACTGTATATTCAGATGGTCTTGTTGACTTACACTGGATGTTGCTATTTTTTAAAATATAGCATGGTTTTTAATAAGCAAAACGAAAATAGTATGTCTCCTGCTGTATTATTGTATGTGTTTAAATTTGTAAACACCAGTTGATCGATCACTCACATACACACGGACCACCCCCCCCCCCCAACCATATACACAAATGTCTATATGAATGAAGATATAAATACCTATATCCTTTTCAACAGTGACCCGTGTAAGTCATACTTACGGTGACTCGTCAAAAGAGCGCACGACAAAAGAGCGCCGACATAAGAGAGCTGACAAAAGAGCGCCGACATAAGAGCGCAGCCAATTAAAAAACACATGTTGTACGCCAACGAGTATGACATGGTTAACACTTGTTTTAATTAAACAATCGGCGGTACGACAAAACGACGTGTTTATTTCTATGTTATGTTTAATATGTTATGAATGAAGTTTGAAAATATTTCTAACCCAAGTAACATGGAGAAGATCGAATAACAGAAAGGGAAGGTTATTATATTGGTCGAAGGCTAATTAAAACAAGTGTTAACCATGTCATATTCGTTTAGGGCACCAGATGTTGGTTGGTACCCGTCATTGTCTCGCTACACGCCCTGGAGGTTAAGCTAGTTAAAGTCAACGTACTAAGTGGGGATTAAAATTAAAAAACAGCACAAACCATTTTGAAATGGGGTTTTCCCATTGTGCTTTGTACAATAATCCAGAAACAGATACACATGTTTAAAATAAATACGTACAGACCAACAAAAAAACCCTTTAACTTAATGTTTTAATTTATTTAAGTTCACTGATCAAGTATGTATCTTGTTGATTTTGTTGTCATCGTTTTCTGAGTGATGTTCTGCGCTGATTAGGTTAGACTAAGTTAACATTTCAATTATCTACTTTTAATCAAATAATTGTGTCCCTAAATTCAATTTTAAAACATTGGAAATGTTGCTCTATTATAATGAAAATCTGAATTAAAATTTAAAGTGTTCTATTTGCTTGTTATGTTTCTCACTGGTGAGAATATTAATGCGATCAGTTTTTTTTTATCTCCTATACATATTATATTAGCCTAAGCTATCCAGATGGAAAAGTAAAACACTTTTTATAAAGTCCTACGAGCAACTTTACATGAAAGAAAATAAACCTGTTAAAGACATACACATCATGTAGCTGCCCTGTTAAATATCTATTAGTTAAAGGTGGGGTAATTAAGTAATTTTTGTTTTCCGTGTGCGAACAACAAATTGAAAATGAAACAACTCGGTAACATTCAAATATCGGAAATTCCCGATTATCATTCTTAGAAGCTCGCCCTTCAATGAACCTAGATCTGGTGTTGTTCAGCAAGATAAGGTTAGTTAAACAATTACAATGTTGTTAAAATGCATTAGTAAAAACGATATTAGTGACACAATATATAGATCTAATGCTTATATTATAGTTCAGTGTTAGAATCATTATTTTCAATAAATAACAACCAGAGCTTCTGAAAGTAAGCATTCTGTTAGATTGACCTGCTGCAACGTTACTACACTATTATTTATTTTAATATGTACACACATATCAGTAATATGAGTAATATGAGTACCGAAACGATAGGTGACGTAGCCAGAAGAACCAGGAATGTGTTCTCCCCATGGATCTTACAATATCAGATAGGTGATGGAAAAACAGATTCAAGACTTAACTAAAAATACAACAAATCATTTCATGGCGTCCTAAAATGATTTATTGAAACATTTCTCATTCATCTATTATGTTCTCATTCTATCTCATTGTTATAATAACTATGTAATACTAGTTCGTCATTCCAAATTTTTAATGCTGTGTTACTACTATGTCTTTACCACTTGCTTTTTTAAAAATAAAATTTGTATTATGTTTATAAAAAAATAAAAATATCAATGTGAAAAAAGTTTTCGGTTACTATTGTTGTTCCCGTTCTCTCCGACCTAAAAGAAATTGTTTCATATTACATCGTATACATGTATACATTTAGTTTAATATGAACAATGTTAATATATCGAGTTTTGATTTTTCTACATTTAAAAAAAAATAAATGGTTTATAAAGAAAATTGCGAAATGACGTCTTATTTCAAACGCTGGGTGACGTCATTTAAGTAGTGGGGTTTGACTTGTTCTAACTATGTGTGAAAAAGTGAAGGGTAAATATCGTTTAAAGAGTTGTAAAGTCATTTAATGACTCTGTACTTAAACACTCAAGCTATGTGCATTACAAAACGTCTTATTTTTTTTTTAAGCCTGGGCGCTCAGTTATGGAAAATATATTCCCTTTCTTAAGGAATTCATTGATAGGTGTACGTACTACAATACAATGTACGACATAATTATGCTCATTTTTTTTCATTATTAAAAGCACAGGCTTTTATTTTTAGTCATACAATCATACAAGATTAAACCAATGTAACATTATTTTTCTTTTTATTGAAATTTTTTTTCATTTGTAATTTTTTTGGTGATGTGTGTATATTTCAATATCTTTTCTTTTCCTTTAAAAAATTATTTTTTTTACGTCAGATTTAGTATCAACAGTAAATACAATGGCAAGTTCAAGTGAAAAAAAAAGAGTTCAGTTCATTCAACAGCGACTAGAAACTCTACTCGCAGAAAAGACAGCTCTCTGTGAAAAAATAGACCAACACGTTAAAATGGTAATGCTAACATACATTTGTATAACACTATTTTAGTCGCTGTACATTGTTCGAGGTATTAATTTACTATTTTACTATTTTCGTTTATTTTTAATCTCTCGTTTTACTAAATTATATGATTTAGGTGGAAGAACGAACTATGATGTGGATGAAGAACCCTGGCTCATCTCTTGAGAGCTACATGAATATCTCTAGTCTACTGGAGATAGCTGTCGATTCGCTTTTGCAGAAATCGGACTGTTTTTCTGGTGATTTATTGAAATAATTGTGCACGCTTTTCACTAATTCTCAGTTTCAATGTATTACACCAGTCGTTTTAGATTCGAATGAAACATAAATTATAGTAGCGTCATCCAATCTACAATGTAGGGCATCACTCATTAAATAGGATGTAGGCGCCATACTGCTCCTATAGTCTCTTGGTCATTCTCTTGTTAATTTGTAGACAACGGCATAAACGAATACAAGATCAGAAAAAAAGAATTATAATTGTCTCAAGTAAATTCGGGCATGTTGTAGCTGTAGAACACTTGCTTCTAAACCTAAATCTGTACATTTGTTACAGGGCTGTAGGTCTTACCCTGACTATAAGATGCTATAGGGAGAAAATTAAAAATTTTTTAGAACCAAATACATCAGATTGGCTAGCTACATAGGATCATAAATAGTTTGTTTTCGTTTTATCCCATCTACTGTATTAGGAGCTGATTATCATCGTCGTATATCATAATTTTCAATGGGTCTTTATTTAATTCTGAAGCAATACCTTATGAACATAAGAGCAATAAATGACTTACAATACATTTAAATATATATATATATATATATATATATATATATATATATATATATATATATATATATATATATATATATATATATATATATATATAAAGAGAGAGAGAGAGAGAAAGAGAGATAATACCTCAGCTATATTTTATGTTTAAAAACAGACAAAGATGTTGTGCTACTTGCAGCTCAATTTAATGCAAGCGTCAAAACAAAAGGATCTGGTATATTGTGTTTTTTTATTTTTTTTTATTTTAGGAACAATTTACTATTTGTTAGAAAAAGCTAAAAGTTTTGAAATTATGCCCTCTATTACTCTTGAAATAGATTTTTTTTTCATTATCTAACCGATTGTCTTGTTTGAGTTATTTATTTCTTATCAGATAAAGCAGGAACAAGTATTATAAATCGTCTTGAACAATTGGAAGCAAATATGTTAGTTCATCAAGACACAAAACAAACGATCCAAGACCCCAAGAGAAAGATGACTTCTAGTACAGATGAGGCTCATACGATCCCACTAAGACTTCAGGAGGAAATGAAAAAAGTGTCCAATGAACAAAATCTAAAGATTGAAAAACTTACTAAACAACTGCAGGAACAAAGCCAGTCAATAAAAGCGATGGATAATGAAATCAAATGTTTAAAAGAAAGAGAATACAACTTAAACAAAACAGTTGAAAAGTTGTCACAAGATGTTCAAGAATGTAAAACCAACTCAGACAAAATAAACAAAGAGATGCAAGTTCAGACAGATAAGACTGTGCGTATTATAGAAGAGATAAAAAAACATTCTGGTTTGATTTTTGCATTTCAGCGAGATGGGAATAAGCTAGCGGTGCATACTGAAAGTCAATTTCAGAAATTGCTTTTTAAGGCAAGTTAATGCTTTAAAGCATTATGACAATAAATATATGGGAAAGACGTGTTTATTTTTTTTAAATATAACACATTAAATAAATTATTTTAAAATGTCTGATAATTAAAACATCATGTATTACATTTTAGTATGGCGTTGCGTGTCAACTTTTTCAACGAAGGTTGTATCACATCGACAAATTGACTCAAATGTTCAATCAGAACATGGCAAGAAGTAAAAAAACGGTAACTGTTTCTTTTTTTTATACTACGCATAAACATAATAAAAAATAGAATATTTATTTAAAAAAAATAGCTTTCCTTTTGCTTGTGAGTGGGTTTACAGTAGATGTTTTTTTTTAATATTACATATTTATGTTTTGGCTGGCGATTCCTAAAAACACAAATAAGTAAGATTATTTTGTATTGATTTTAGGATGCAGCTAGACCTGTAATGACTCCGGGCACTCGTAAAAGTGGTAAGTTCATTTTTTCCCCGCAGTGAATATCTTGCGTGGATTACAACTTTGGTTTGCTTCTTCCAACACCTGGATAAAGTAATAAATGTTTGTGATAATGCACTAAAAAGGAGAAAATAAATGTCTTTTTAAAAATATTTTATAGTATACTACTATTTGAATAACTATAAAGCAAAGCGTGATTCGCTGAATTATCTATTGTATACCTTAACTTATATTAAAGAAGAGACCCATCATCTGCAATGCATTATACTTCATAATACACAGCTATGTATATTACATATTGTGATATAACAGTTTTGCGTTCTAAGTACATTGATTTTGAATTGTGTTAAACTTTTAGCCACGTGGTGTTCTTAAATTAAAGAAAATGTTAAAATGTGACATACAACTGACGATTAGAGGCGATTAATGACGCAGCAACAATATACTGCGGCGGTAGCTATGAACAAACACATCCTACTAAAAACTAATCTCCTCGTTAAGTTAAATTTTGTTTAATAGCAATATGAAGTTTATACTTTGACTAAAACAATGCTTTTATACTATTTTATAAAATGGGTGACAATTTATAAGGCTATTGCTATTTACAAGGGTTAAGCTAAAAAAGGTGAGTAAAAGGCAGATTGTTTAAATAGTTTGAATGTTTATGTTGTTATATATCTTTAAAGAAAATTTTTAAACAATTAACCTTGCTGTAAGGAAGTAAGTAAAACGGAATATCTTTGAATAACTCGCATCGTTTTTTTTTTCAAACAGCAATGCCGCAAACCCAGAATACTCTTTTGGGTTGTATTGCTTCACTTGGATACAGAACGAAATACAGCAACATCATATCTTTCACACAAGTAGAATGTAACGTAGGAAACCACTTCAACCCCAGCAGTGGGGTTTTTAAGGTCCCTTCTGATGGCACCTATACGGTGGTTATAGCAATCAGACAAAATATGAATTCGATTGTGAAGGTTGAAGTGAAACGAACACTTGCGACTATTATGCAGCAGGAAGTCGGGCAAGTTTATACAACTCATAAAGGTGCGGAAGCTTCTAACACGTTTGTAGTTTGCATGTATAAAGGAGATACTTTGTGGGCGGTGACCGACTCTTTTGAATGTGAATGTACATATTTTTCTTGTTTACGTCAATAAAACAAATATGCTAATTCCTTTCATTGCTCTGGGGTACATAAGCCGCTTTTTGTCTTGATGAGCTTGGAGACGCGCAGCATTGGATCACTTGATTTTAACTTCCTTTCATCAATTTGTCGTTTGTTGAAGTAATGTTTTGAATATCCCCCGTGAAATTAGCCCGTTAATTTCACGCATGGGTTTTAATTCTGAAGCTTGCTTAGCTCAATTGTGAGAGAACTCTAAGCACACCATTTCGCTTTGTGTATTGAGTGGTGTCTACTTGCACGCATATGTATGGTGTCAACAATTCAAACTTTCGGTTAAGACAGAGCTAATGAGCCTAATGCTGGAGTGCTGTATGAATGACGATGTTACTTTTCAACGCAATGGTAACTGCTGCACTCCGTTATAAACTGTGTCACTTCTTTTGGTTTCAAATATTTTTGTTAATGTCCTCCTCAAGCAATGTGAGTTTGCTTGAGTTTCACGAAATTAGCATACAATGTATAACGTTTATTAAAAGCGTGTACCTATAACACTGTTTTATCATAACATTTCCTAAATGTATTATATTTCGAAGAATTCATTTATTGTCATGTAAATTCATTTACTTGTAGTTCCAACTGTGTCGCCTTTCATGTAAGGTTGTTATTATTCTTATTTATGCAAATATATTTACAATTCAGTGGCTAATTTATAATTAAAAATACCCTATTCACTTAGTATAAATTTGTTTTATATCATTACGTTTAGATATTTTAAAAGTAACATTTTACAATCAATAATTATTTTTAAAGCATTGTTGTGTATATGTATGTTTACAATTGCCTATAAATATATAATGGCATGATGCAACCATAGATAAGAGTTCCTAATCTTATGAGAGATATACAGCCAAAAAAATCAATCATAACAATGAAGGTTGCTGTTGATGAAGCGACTTCCATTTATTGAGCATTCATCGTTACCCCCCTAGCCTCGTTAGACAATTAGACGGTTGCACGTTTGTGGAACGTCTGTCGTCGAAGATTTTAATGTTTACTTCAGCCTTATTTCTTCAGCCTTGTGTCTTCAGTCTTGTGTCTTCAGCCTTGTGTCTTCAGCCTTGTGTCTTCAGCCTTGTGTCTTCAGCCTTGTATCTTCAGCCTTGTGTCTTCAGCCTTGTGTCTTCAGCCTTGTGTCTTCAGCCTTGTGTCTTCAGTCTTGTGTCTTCAGCCTTGTGTCTTGTGTCTTCAGCCTTGTGTCTTCAGTCTTGTGTCTTCAGTCTTGTGTCTTCAGCCTTGTGTCTTCAGCCTTGTGTCTTCAGCCTTGTGTCTTTAGCCTTGTGTCTTCAGTCTTGTGTCTTCAGCCTTGTGTCTTCAGCCTTGTGTCTTCAGTCTTGTGTCTTCAGCCTTGTGTCTTCAGCCTTGTGTCTTCAGCCTTGTGTCTTCAGCCTTGTGTCTTCAGCCTTGTGTCTTGTGTCTTCAGTCTTGTGTCTTCAGTCTTGTGTCTTCAGCCTTGTGTCTTCAGCCTTGTGTCTTCAGCCTTGTGTCTTCAGCCTTGTGTCTTCAGCCTTGTGTCTTCAGCCTTGTATCTTCAGCCTTGTGTCTTCAGTCTTGTGTCTTCAGCCTTGTGTCTTCAGCCTTGTGTCTTCAGCCTTGTGTCTTCAGCCTTGTGTCTTGTGTCTTCAGCCTTGTGTCTTCAGCCTTGTGTCTTCAGCCTTGTGTCTTCAGCCTTGTGTCTTCAGCCTTGTGTCTTGTGTCTTCAGTCTTGTGTCTTCAGTCTTGTGTCTTCAGCCTTGTGTCTTCAGCCTTGTGTCTTCAGCCTTGTGTCTTCAGCCTTGTGTCTTCAGCCTTGTGTCTTCAGTCTTGTGTCTTCAGTCTTGTGTCTTCAGCCTTGTGTCTTCAGCCTTGTGTCTTCAGCCTTGTGTCTTCAGCCTTGTGTCTTGTGTCTTCAGTCTTGTGTCTTCAGTCTTGTGTCTTCAGCCTTGTGTCTTCAGCCTTGTGTCTTCAGCCTTGTGTCTTCAGCCTTGTGTCTTCAGCCTTGTGTCTTCAGCCTTGTGTCTTCAGTCTTGTGTCTTCAGCCTTGTGTCTTCAGCCTTGTGTCTTCAGCCTTGTGTCTTCAGCCTTGTGTCTTGTGTTTAGCCTTGTGTCTTCAGCCTTGTGTCTTCAGCCTTGTGTCTTCAGCCTTGTGTCTTCAGCCTTGTGTCTTGTGTCTTCAGCCTTGTGTCTTCAGTCTTGTGTCTTCAGCCTTGTGTCTTCAGCCTTGTGTCTTCAGCCTTGTGTCTTCAGCCTTGTGTCTTCAGCCTTGTGTCTTCAGCCTTGTGTCTTCAGCCTTGTGTCTTCAGCCTTGTGTCTTCAGCCTTGTGTCTTCAGCCTTGTGTCTTCAGCCTTGTGTCTTCAGCCTTGTGTCTTCAGCCTTGTGTCTTCAGCCTTGTGTCTTCAGCCTTGTGTCTTCAGCCTTGTGTCTTCAGCCTTGTGTCTTCAGCCTTGTGTCTTCAGCCTTGTGTCTTCAGCCTTGTGTCTTCAGTCTTGTGTCTTCAGCCTTGTGTCTTGTGTCTTCAGCCTTGTGTCTTCAGCCTTGTGTCTTCAGCCTTGTGTCTTCAGCCTTGTGTCTTCAGCCTTGTGTCTTCAGCCTTGTGTCTTCAGCCTCGTGTCTTCAGCCTTGTGTCTTCAGACTTGTCTTCAGCCTCGTGTCTTCAGCCTTGTGTCTTCAGCCTTGTGTCTTCAGCCTTGTGTCTTCAGCCTTGTGTCTTCAGCCTTGTGTCTTCAGCCTTGTGTCTTCAGTCTTGTGTCTTCAGCCTTGTGTCTTGTGTCTTCAGCCTTGTGTCTTCAGCCTTGTGTCTTCAGCCTTGTGTCTTCAGCCTTGTGTCTTCAGCCTTGTGTCTTCAGCCTTGTGTCTTCAGCCTTGTGTCTTCAGCCTTGTGTCTTCAGCCTTGTGTCTTCAGACTTGTCTTCAGCCTCGTGTCTTCAGCCTTGTGTCTTCAGCCTTGTGTCTTCAGCCTTGTGTCTTCAGCCTTGTGTCTTCAGCCTTGTGTCTTCAGTCTGCCGCCTGACGACTGTCTATTCTATTTTAATACAGCGCTGGCTGTTCCACTATAAATAATCAGTAAGATAACAAGACAACAATGTGTTATTTCTATAAAATTTACACTGCAGATATAAAATATAACTTTTACTCTATTTCAAAAGAATTCTATGATAGTATAAAAACTTGAATTTTTAAAATGGCGGATTGTTTACTTCCGTGGAAGTGAATCTTGATACAATTTGATTTTAATTTTATTTTTTTCAATTTTAAACATAAAATTTTAACATAGTATCACTCATCCAGTAAATTGAAAAGGTTAGTTAACTACGATTTAACTATTCGTCTTATTTAGAATTAAACGTAATTGTTAACAATATAACTTTAGTATAGAAGATATAGATCTACTATCATCGTTCAATGGTAGAATACCGGATATAAGATCTAGATCTATATACCAAACGTTAATAACTGCTTTTGTGTTACATCTTTTATTAAACCTACCAAACTGTCAATCATGGCATGCTAATCCTACATTTACTAAGTGAAAATGTTAAGGGCTGGCGTTCAAAACATGAGCTCGAAATTTAAACTATCAACTGTTTATTAATCAAAGGGCAGCTTTACCAAAGTATATGGTAAGTTGTATTTGTTGAATATAATTTTCACTAGAAAATTGATACTAAATATTATATTTTATAGAAGTAGTTAATCGTAACATTCTGCAGACATCTGATTTCCCCGCCGATGCAAGTCTCCCATTCCCGCTCATTTCACTGTACACGCCCGTTTAACATGATCTAATTAGAACACTTTGATTGTAAACATCTTTGCAAAATACTCGTACAGGGTTTATATATATATATATATATATATATATATATATATATATATATATATATATATATATATATATATATATATATATATATATATATATATATATATATATATATATATGGTGACATGACATATGATCTCAGACAAAATATCACAGACAAAATATATCACGGACAAATGATCTCAGGACAAATGATCTCAGGACAAATGATCTCAGGACAAATGATCTCAGGACAAATGATCTCAAGGTCTAATTATCCCATGGACAAAAGAGACCAGGACAAAATATATCAGGACAAATGATACGATGGACAATTGATTTCAGATAAAATATCTCACATATCTGTAGGCTAAGGGAAGCATGAAGGTGTGTGGGTTTGTGTGGGTGTGTTTGTGTGTGTATAACTTTAAGCCGAGATAATTATATTTATATATATGTGTGTGTGTGTGAGTGTGTGTAACTGTAAACGAAGAGGATTATATATGTATGTGTTTGTGTGTGTAACTATATGCTAAGAGAAATAAGTTGCTTGTGTTTGTATATAACTGTAAGAGTGGTGTGTGTCCTTCCTATGGTATCAGTGGGAGCGTGAATCGAGCAGTGTGTACATTCTCTGTGTACTAATCACAACAGGTACACCTAGCGCACTATTATTGAAACCACTAAACTCACAGACGGGTTTAAGTATTGTTATTTTCTTAGATGCGTCCAGAACTCCAGGTTAAGCAAGTTACAGAGAAAACAAAATATTTGGAAGAACATTTAACCATTCTGGAACGGGTTACTGAGTCTATGAAACATGTAAGACATAAGTGATTCGTAATGTATTCATTGTTGTACCAGTACTTTGTATATTGGAACTAACTGTGAATTATAGTTAAACACTGACATTGTTTCATTTTAGAAAGTTTTTATTAATTTTCTTATTTAATCAGGCATTAGAAAAAAGCAAGACTTGGATAGAAGATAAAAATGACAAGCCGTCTATCACCTACATAGAGCTATGCCAGGAACTTGATTCAGTGACCACGTCAGTGTTGGATGTAGCGGCAAAGATTATAAATAAACAGTTAAACAATAACTTGACATACGATTTAGGTAAGTACTAGAGTACTAAATTACCTCTCAAGACTTCCGTGATTCATAACTCCAAAATTAATTGACAACAAAATAGCAATTGATTAATTTAATAATTTTATTCATAAATTGTAAAACACATTTTTAGAGAACGCAAAATCAACGTAAATTACTTGTATTTTCTCTATTAACAATACGCAAGCGAATGGTGCAAAAAAACCTGAAGATAAAAGGAACAACTTTGACGAAGAAAACGGAAATTTCATTCAGTCTACACCCCAAAATATAACAATGGAAAAACATGATCATCAAATTACTGAACTATGTGAAAAAACAGATGATATAAATAGTTCTCTTTCACGGTTAAAATATAATAAAACAAGTACCTATCTATGTAATTATTAATTGAAGGGGTAATGGTCAAACTTAGTTATTAGAACACTAGGCAATTATTATTATCGATTTATTAATTTATAATATATTCCAGATATAGTGACTCGGCTGGAATTGATAGAGACAGCTCTCTCTTCGCTACAAGACACAAAACAAAAGACTGAAGACGATATATCAGAAATAAAACAATGGAGAGACACATTTGTGTCAGAACAAAATGATACGGCTTTAAAAACTGAGCAGTTTTTTAGACGCGAGATAGAAAATATTGAAAGCCTTAGAGAACAAATGAGTGAATACGAGAACCTAGTAAAGGAG